TGTATCCCTTGCATCCATCTCTTACTTAATTGAGTTTTTGCTTGCTTTATTTGTTTCATTTAAAAAAAAAAATTTCATTATTCTTTAATTTTCACTCTTCTTTTTGCTGTGTTTTGAGCGTTATTATAATTACCATGGGTTAATCAAAATTTTATTTTAGTTTTGGAAAATCTTTGTTGCAACAACTAAACAAAGTTTGCTCATTTCAAAATGTTTATTGCAATCTAGTTTAACATGCAGGAAAATTAAATGGTTTATAGTAATGGTTTTTCTTAGCGCACATATTAAAAATGTATTTATTATGCTTTTTTTTATTAATTTATATAAAAAATTATGAAAATAAATTTTATTTTCAATTTCAATATCATGTGAAATGATTTAATTGAACAATTAATAAAATTAAAATTAATTTTTATTTTTTTATATAAATTAATAGTGAAAAGATACAATAAATACCTACATACACCCTTAAGGCATATATTAGAAAATTTCTTATGGTAATATGCTTCCTAGTTTACAAGGTTGGTATTGGTGTTCTATGTCATTTAGCACAATTATAGTTTAAGGTTTGTGAATGTTGGTAGAGTGCGGATATATATTATAAATTCTGTTTGTGAAATATATTTACGACAAAATCAAATCTTTGATATTTGATAGGTTAATATTAATTTTATTATTTACATCGAATTGTAGAACATTTTACTTTAAATCCAATTATTGAGAATTTTAATTAGATTATAGAAAGAGAGATGAAGATTTTTTTAAAAGAACTTATAGTGGGACTTTCTAATTTATAGTTCATATTATATTTGCATATAGCAAAAAAAAAAAGCCCCCCCTAGAATCATAACCAAGCTTCGTTCCTGAGCATTGAGATGTATCTATGTGGCTGATCATGCATACACTGTCTGGTAATATCTAGTTTATAGATTAGAAATGTATTATGTAGACTATTGAAGACTCATATTTAAGCTTCCACTGCTTAAAACATCATGAGTTTCCTATTATAAGTAATAATAAAAGCAAAAAGTGTCCTCTTATTGACTAGATTCAAGATTTAAATTTCAAAACTAACAATTAAAGAAGTTAATTTTTTTGAATATGATAAGTTGATGTTGCAGGTGTATCCCACTACTAGAAAACCTTAAATTACCGACTAAAATATCATCTATGTAAAAGTTTTTGTTGGTGAATTACTACGTTACCGACAAAGAATATGTTTGCACAAAGCAAAACAGTAAAATTAACATTAAGTTATACTATTTAAAGTTCAGATGAGTACTTTGTCGGTAATTTCATACTATAAAAATGTGAATCTTGTTAGTAGTATTAAGTCCGCAAAACTTTTCTGGCTAGTGGTTAGAATTGCTCTTACCGACAAAGCTCACCTCAAAAACTTAGTCACAGCGGTAGAGGCACGTTGGCCCAGGGTTAGGCATGGGCCTTACCTTGGGCCAAAAAAAATTTGAAGAAAGTAAAGGATCTAATTGTTTAGGCCCTACTTTGTAGTTAGATGAATTTGAAGGAAAATAAAATATTTAGGAATTTAAGAAACTAAAACGAAAAGAACACCAAAAGAAATATAAAATATTGAAGTGGAAAGAAAATAAGAAAAATAAATATGTAACCCATATATTGAATAACTAAAATACAAGAGAAGAATAGATTTAATACCTTGAAAAATGTTATTGCAAAATTTATTTTTCTTTGTAGCGAACCAATACAAATGCTTTGATCCATAATTTCTCATAGTTACAATTTCCTTCTTTTTCACTTTTATATATATTTTTTCTCTTTGTTTCTAACTACCTCCACTTCTATAGCTTTGTTCAAGTGACTTGAACTCTTAAAATCAATGAAACTCATTTTTAAAAAGTTAAAAATTTATTTTATATCCTCTCAATTAGATTCCTTAAAAGCCAAGTATTAGCCAATACAAATTTCTCAATATTATCTGATAATTTATCCAGATTAACTTCCAATGCATCATCCAACTAGGTCCTCACAAAGCTTATAGAAGAGAATCTACACAAATCCTTCTTAATTCACTTAATTCACTACAATAGAGGAAGATTAAAGGAGGATTGAGGGTTTGATTAGCTTTGGGTGCCATAAGTGAAGAAAGAGGAATTCATATATTTTAAAAGAATATACTATAGTTACAATGCTAATCATGACATAGCATTAAATAAGTATAATGTAATATTAAATAAGTGTACACATATAATATTACATGTAGACTCTTAAATAAAAAGAGTTAATTATATAATAATATATAATATTATAAATTTATAATATCAGGTAGTATTGTAACTATAGCATTTTGATATTTTAATTTACTAAAATGGAATAGCGAACATTAATTCTTCAATTGGATTTGTAATTTTTTTTTGTCTAGTCCTTACTCTTCCATTTGTGTTACAATTTGATCTTTTGTATTTTAATTTTTTTTATCTACTTTATTCATTCTATGTAACTATGGTATATTAAGTGGAGGTAAGACAAGAAGGCCTTACCCAAGGAGAAATCCTGATTCCACCACTACTTAGTCATGTTGCAACGTGCATTTGCTCGGTGATAGCCTACCAATATATCGACAAGTTTCTTGTTGGTAACTATATTTTTCTGCAACCATCATCTTCTCGGTGATGGCACTGGTGAGGCAGGATACTGATGAACTGCAGGAGTTGGTCAGCTTTTTCATTTTGCCAACAAGCTTCTCGTCAGTAGGTTTGCTTTCCTTGCAACTAAGAATTGGTGCAGGTTGGTTCTACCTTGTTACAAATCATGACCAAGTTGGACAAGTTGGCTGCCAACATATCTCTTGTTAGTAATGGGTGGCGGGAATGTCAAATTGCACTTTAACTTACCAACATGAATGTGGTTGTTAAAAGGAAGATGTTAAATTACCAACACAAATCTTGTTGGTAAATAAAAGGTGGGATTTCAAAATTTTTGCATCTTTTCTACTCTTACTGAACTTCACTTGGTGCCTATGTGGATTATGTCGGTAAATATTATTCTGACAACAAATACATAGGTAAAGTGCTTTATATATTACCAAATCTATGTAGGCTATCCATTTTTTCTTTCCTTCCTTCTTCTTCTTTCTTCTCATCCCTTATTTGTCTCTCCTCCTTCCTCTTGCATCAAAATGCTACTGAACTTTTTTTGTTTATAACTACATTATATCCGTGTTATTTTTAATTTATATTTTCTCAATTTCCTCTCTTTTTCTCTTCTATTCTTTGTTCCTAATTGATTTAACTTTAATTTGAGTTATCAATTAATTTATTTACAATTCTAATTTTTTTCTTAATGTTGTTTTGTAGGAAACATTATTGGGAGATAAACAGTAGGTAAATAAATTTTATTTATGTAAAAATTTTAGTTTATATTTTGATTATTATTATTATTATTATTTGGTTGAATTTATATGTAAATATTAAATTTAATTTATATTTTATCATTTTTTTCTGTAAGAAATGCTGCTCTATAAATATCAAATTTTTAATTGAAGTAATTTTTTATTTTTTATTATGCTATTTAATTATATTTTATGTATTTCTTATTATTCTTATTTTTTAAATTATGTTTTAATCATTAGTTTCAGTAAATAGATTCAATAATTTCTCTTATTTCTATTGTAAAATTTTGATATTATATGACATTATTTGTATAGGTGGGCAATCAACGAAGTTAAAGAATATGTTGGTGTAGGGGTTTCGGTGGGAGGTGGGGGATGGATGTCGGGTGGGTTTTTGGAGAGATATTTGGGCGGGGAACAAATTTTTACGAGATTTATTTCCAAGGCTTTTTCAGTTAGCTGAAAATAAGGATAGCAAGGTAAAGGGAAATGGGACATGGGAAGGGGACAGTTGGCGGTAGGAAATGAAGTGGCAGAGAGAGAGAGAATGGGTCGTGGAAAAGATGAGGAGAAGGAGTTAAGGGAGGTGTTGGGTAGTGTACACCTTAGGCAAAGTGAGGCAGATTCTTGGCAGTGGACATATGATGTAGGAGGTAAATATATTGTGAAGACAACATATGATTATTTAGCTTCGGTGGATTACTTGCTTGAGGGCCAACTGTGTCAATTGGTGTGGTGCGGGATGGTGCCTTCTAAAGTGAGTTTTTTTGGGGTGGAGGTTGTGTCTAGACAAGCTTCCAACAAGGTGGAATTTGCAAAAGAGAGGGATGGTATTACAAGGGGATGGCATGAAGTGTGGACTATGTAAGGAAGGTGTGGAGGATGTTAATCATCTGTTCTGCACATGTAAGATAGCTTGGTTAGTATGGGTTAAGGTGATTCAGTGGTGGGGTTTGGAGGTTGTGATGCCGGCTACGGTGAGGGATGTGGTAGATTTTTTCTTATGGTGTTTGGGTCGATTGGTGGGTAAGGAGATGGGAGCATGTATTTTTCTTGTTGTTACTTGGTATATATGGTATTGGAGGAATGTTTTGGTATTTCAGAATCATGGGGATTTTAGGGAGCAATTGTTGGAGTTAATTCAAGGTAAGTCTTATTTTTGGATTCTGAATAAGGTGGAGGGGTGTGTTTTTTCTTTAGTTCAGTGGCAAAATAATCCAGTGGAATGTGCAAGGGAGTTGATCCGATACAAGAGGTCTTTGAAGCTTTTT